CTCTCTACTCTCACTCTCCTCTCCACTCCTCTCCTCTCCCTCCTCCTCCTCTCCTCTCCTCTCCTCTCCTCTCCTCTCCTCTCCTCTCCTCTCCTCTCCTCCCATCTCCTCCCATCTCCTCCTAACTCTACTCACTCTTGAGATGTTTTCATTTCCCTTTGACATCACTGCCAGGAAAAAGTCTCACACGTGGCACTCGATGTTCCGCTGGTCACCCAAGGTAACTGATTTCCTTGCACGACGCCTCCTCCTCCTCCTCCTCCTCTCTCGCTCTCCTCTCCTCCTCTGCCTCCTCCTTCCTCGGCGTCCTTCTCCTCCTCCTCCTCCTTCCTTTCATCATAACCTGCTCCAATCCAGCTGATCTCTGCGTGTTTGCAGCTAATGCTCATGTCTACCATGAGCCTCTCCGACGTCTTGGTGTACCTCTCCCAGCAGAAGGACCAGCTTGCCTCCAGCCTTGACTCCTCCGTCATGGTCCAAGGCACCTGCCTCATCTGCAACCTGGACGGGCCAGGAGGAGGAGGAGGAGGAGCGGCGGCGGCAGGAGCAGCAGCAGCAGCAGCAACGAGGGAGGGGGAGGGAGAGGATGACACGTGGCGTTTCTCAGCTGTCATCTCCCTGGACGAAGAGGACGGAGAGGGGGATCTCGAGATTGTCGACGAGGAGGAGCTGAGAAGTCACGTTCCCCGCTGCTGGGTGCTGTGCTGGCGGCAGGAGGGCACGGAGGGTCGGGACGGGGCGCTGCCGGACCCTGCTGGGGTCTGGAGGAAGAGGGGGCAGGACCGGGTCCTGCGCCTGCTGGAGGGGTTGGTGAGGGAGGCAACGAGGGTGTGGATATGGGGGCGATGCACCTGCCCGAAGGTGCAGCTGTTGGCATGGGAGGTGGACGCGCTCCTGCGGAGGGTCCGCAGCTACCCTCTGACGAGGCTCGACGGGCGACTCCAGCAGCTTCTCCAGCTTGAGGCCCCCTGGTCCCAGCTGCTGGACGACCTGGCCACCCGCCACCGGAGCTGGTCACATGTATCTTCATGCAGGAAGTGGCTGCTGCTGCTCCCTGCCCATGAGGAGAGTCCGGGTACCGCCGTGATCCTCACCATCCGGACGTTCGGGGACAGGTCGGAGCTCCAGGCGCTGATATGCACTTGCGAGGAGGAGGAGGAGGAGGAGGGGAGACAAGGTGGGGGGAAGGGCGAGATGGGAGGGATGGAGGAGGCGATGCGAGGATGGATGCGGGGGATAGTGACCGACATCTGCTACTGGCTGTGGGGCCTCTCGCTCTAACGTTTTCCAGCTCATGGCCAACGAGCAGGGGAGCGCTAGGAGGGAGGTGGGAGGAGGAAGGGGGGGCGGGAGGGGGAGCAGAAGCAGCAGGAGGAGGAGGTGGTGGAGGAGGAAGATCCAGCAAGGGAGGAGAGGGAGGGAGGGAGGGAGGGAGGGAGAGAGGGGGAGGAGCGTAGAGTCGGAGCTGTATATGTTTTCTCTGTACATTTTAAGTTCTAGCCGAGGGTCTGGGACTCCAGGACGAGCGCCTCCTTCATCTCGTTCGCCATCTCCACCAGCGCCATCACCTTTCCCTGCGGCAACCCCAGCTGGAAGATACTGTCCTCCAGCTCGTCGGCCAGCTGGAGCCGCCTCCTCCACACTCCCTCCTCCGCCTCCTCGGCGTGGGAGGCATCTTGGGAGGAGCCGTGGCGGTCAGCGAGCTGGGCGTAGGACGGGAAAACGGCAGCGAGCTCACCGTGGGAGCCTGTCCCCAACAGCCGTCCTCCCTCGAGGTAGGAGAAAGAGTCGCACGTACCCTCGAGAAGGCTGGAAGAGGAGGAGAATATGATGACCGTCCGGTCGCCCCGTCGTCCCCGCAGGTTGGAAAGGATCCTCCTTGCAGTCTCAGCGTCCATCCGAGAGAACACGTCGTCCAGGAGGATGACGTTGGCTGTTGTCAGCCAGGCTCTTGCGATCGCAACCTGCAGCTTCTGCATGGCCGTCAGCCGCACACCTGTGTCCCCGACATGCGCCTGGTAGCTGTCGGGGATGAGCTGGATGAACTCGTGGGCGCAGGCGAGACGAGCAGCAGCTTCTACCTGCGCCTGCGACGCCGTCTCGACAGCATACGAGATGTTCTGCGCGATGCTCATGGCGAACAGGACAGGCTCTGTCTGCACGGCCACCACATGCTCCCTCAGCCAGTCAGGGTCCAGCGCCTTCACGTCACTCCCATCCAGCAGGATGCTGCCGCCTGCCGGCTCCTGCATGCGCTGCATGCTCTCCATGAGCCGAGTCTTCCCTGCTCCCCTTCCCCCCACGATGGCCGCGATGCTCCCGGCCGAGATCGAGACTGAGCTGAGGAGCTTGTCGCTGCTCGGAGCATCGGGGAACAAGTCCACCTCCCTCATCTCGATCCTCCCGTCCACCTTCTCCATGGTGCTTCCTCCGCTGCCGCCGAACTTGGGAGATCGATCGAGTAGGTGAAAAACTCTCTCAGAGGCCCTGAGCGCCTTGGTAATCTGCCTCAGGAGGGGCGACAGCTGGGCGATGCTTGAGATCGCAAGGATGGTAACGCCAGCGTACGTGACGAGGTAGCCGACTTCGACCTGGCGGGACAGGACGGCCAGCCCGCTAACGTAGAGTGACAGGACGACGGCGAGCTGTATCATGAGCGTTGCGGAACTCTTGGAAGTTGCGTCCACCAGCCCGGTCTGGAGGGAGAGGTCGTAGATATCCGCTGCCATCTCCTTGAACTTCTCGAGCTGTCGGGACTCCGCAGCGAGCGAGCGGACGATGCGAAGGCTGGACAGAGTCTCCTCCACCAGCTCCATCGAAGTAGCCATCGCCTCCGCTCTCTCCTTACCTAGCCTCCTGGCGTAAAACTTCTGGATCTTGCCGACGAGCATGCAGATCGGGACCAGGGACAGGACCACAAGAGTGATCTTCCAGCTGATCATGAACATAATGAAGATGCACATCAAGACTGTGAGGATGCAGTGGAGGCCATGTATCATGTGGTCCCCGAGTGTCTTCTGCAGCAGTGCCACGTCGTTCTGTATGCTCTCCACAAGCTCCTCGGGCTTCTTCCCGTCGAAGAACTCTACTTCCTGCCGCAGCAGGTTGTGGAAGACCTTCCTCCTCGTCCTCGACGCCATCCTCTCCTCCGCGTTGTGGATGATGGTGGCATAGGCGGCGTCGAGGATCGAGCAGATCAGATAGATAGCCACCAAGATCACGCAGTATTCTCTCAGATGCCCCCTGGCGGATCCTGGGGAGTAAGGATAGTAGAAGTTGTTGAAGAGACGGCCGAGGATGACAAAGGCGAAGCCGGAGGACGCAACTGAAGCTATCATGCACCTGCGGGTAGAGGATGAGAAAGAGGAAGGGAGACGAGGAAGAGGACAGGAGAGCGGAGCAGAGCAGAGCAGAGCAGAGGAGTAGCGAGGAGAGAAACCGAGTAGAGGTGGGGAGGAGAGTGGAAGGACGTAGGAGAGGAATTGATGGAGAGGACTAAGATGAATAGAAGGAGAGCAGAGCAGAGAGGGAGAGGCAGGGACGTACAGGAAGGACAAGCAGAGCAGAGCAGAGAGGGAGAGGCAGGGACGTACAGGAAGGACAAGGAGAGCAAGAGCTTCTCGGGCTCAAACATGCTGAGGACCTTCCAGAACCGATCTCTCCACACCTCCTGATCTCAACGTCACCCATCGCTCACAGACCTTAGAGAGCACGGAGATCTACCGTAAGGAAGCCCAAGTGCTCTTGGTTTCGATCCTTCCCCTCTGCTCCCTCCATCTTGGACTGGGCGTCCTGCAAGGTGCCCAGCTCTGGCGCCACGTCTGCTCGTCCTCCCGTCAACGTCGTCGCATCGTCATTCCCGCGCTCCTCTCACCTTTGGACTGGTGTGGAAAGCGGAAGGCGAGGACGACGATCACGAGGTAAAGGACGTAGTGGAGGAGGTAGGCATAAAAGGAAAGGCCGTAGCTGAGAAACCAAGGGGGCATCGGATCAGGCACGAGATCGAGATCGCAAGTTTTCATCGTCACCCGTTGGTCTCCGATGCGATCACAACCGTTGGCAGGCTGAAGGTCCCAGCAATTGCTGACGTGGCCCAGAAAGTTTTGAGGATCCAACACCTTCATAGGGCGTTAGGGAACGAACGGCAGTCATACCGACGCTTGCAGTGATTAGATGTTAACTTGTACCGAAGGAGGAGAAGGAGGAGCAGGAGCAGGAGCAGAAGCAGGAGGGGGGGAGCACCAGCAGAAACAGCAGAAGCAGCAGAAAGAGGAGGAGGAGGAGGAACGCAGCAGAGCGTCGAACTTACTCTGTGAGGTTGCGAGAAACCTCCATGTTGAAGAGCCAAAGGCTGTACAGCCATGCCGAGGAGGCAAGGGGCTTTGCGATCCACTCGAAGTCATCATGAGCACCGTTGGCATACTTGGCCGCAAACACAATCAGAGGAAACATGCCCAGCCATCCGAGGACCATCACTTTCACACTGTGCATGGTGGAGTAGGGAAATTCCTCCATAGGGGGGATGTGGAGGAGCGTCCATGCCCGGTAGGAGCCGAACATGAAGATAAAGACGGTGGCTGCTCCGAAGAGGAAGATGTCGTCGAAGCAGTGAGTGAGGAAGGGACGCGCGTCTCCCCGCCATAGCGCCCTTGCGTCACAAGCAGACATTCCTATGTGTCCGGAAGCTGCTGCGAGCTGACAGGGGGTTACAGTGCTCTAGTGCAGAGAGGTGGAATCTGATGAAACCGACAGGATAGTCCGTAGGAAAGAAGGTGAGAAGAGAGGCGGATGAGAAAGGATGGATATGGTCTGAAAGATGACGCAGTACAAGTAGGTGTTGGCGGGGAATCCTGCAAGGGCTGGGTGATACCCAAGTTGGGAAGGACACGGAAACGAAGTGGTGAAAGGAGTGAGTCACAGAACAAGAGATATTGAGTGAGAAGATGGAGAAGGATGAAAGGAGGGAGGCAGGGAGGGAGGGAGGGAGGGAGGGAGGGAGGGAGGAGAAGGGGAGGAGGAGGAGAAGGAGGATCAAGGAGGAGGAGGAGGAGGAGGAGGAGGAGAAGGAGAGACGGTGGGAGAAAGAAGGGGCAAGCGTGATGATGAGAGGATGGAAGTAAGGGAATTGGAAGGGGGGTGGGGGGTCATGAAGTCAGGGATCAATTCAAGTGGGGTGATACTTAATTCCAAACTATTTGAAATATTGATAACATTATTTATAATTTTCATTAAATAAAAATTTGAAATTAGATCTCATATTCAGATGAAGGGGGTAGGGGTAAACCTGTGGGTCATTATTGTGGGGTAGGTCAACGTTGGACCCAGTGCTGCGTCACTTGAAAAACTTTCCAAACTTTAAAACCTCCGAATTAAAACTTCACTACCAAACAAAGTTCTGACTGACCCAGTTCGGACCGTCGGACTCCTCAACTCGGAACCGGGCCCGGCCGGTCACCGGGTGCCGACCACAGCCGCCAGCTGGCACTGCCGCAGCGCAGCCTGTTTCACGGAGCCTCAGGGGCCGGCCGCGGAGCCGGGCTGGGAACCGCCATTGAAGGCCACGGTGACGCGGCCGCCGGGAGTCCGCGGCCTGGCTGGGAACCGTCCGGACGGTTCAACGGTTGAACTTCCAGGCTTGCCAAGTTGCCAAGTTGCCAAGTTATGACCCGGTGACCCGGCGGTTCACCGTAGGCTGTGACCGTACGGTCAGTTTAGCGGCTTGGCCCGGCACTGAGCACTGAAGCTCGAAGCCTTTCAAACTTGAAAGTTGGGAATCATGCGGTCACAAGTTTCGTCGGTCAACCGTGATAATCATCGGATGCTTCCGGCTAGTCGGAAGGCTCGGACACATATCTTGAAGGATAAAACTATCAATATACTTCTGACTGAGGTTCAAATCAATCACACTGTCGTCACTGGAAACTTGAAACGAGTCGGAACTGCCGCCAGCCAGTGCGGCCTGAATGATCATGGGCACGCCGCCCGCCCGGCCCGTTGAAACACTGAGTACTACTTAGTGTAGCAACGAAGTACGCGCTGCGCGAGTCAAGGCGGCGCAAGAACATCAAACATGGTTTGACAGTGAAGATCTGGTGACAGATCGAAGTCCTGGTATCCCAAAACGTCAAAGAGATCCAAGGGTTTGTCCTGATCTTCAACGAAGGATGAAAGCTCCGATCTCTGACTGCCATGTTGCGAAGCCTCCTTGTGTTGCTCTAAAGGTTCAACCGTTCTGATCGTCTGCTCTTGTGCCGACAATGTACCTTTGAGCGACGTGGAGCTTTCATGGCCCAGCATGGGCTTGATCTCTACTGCACTTGCTGGCTGAACAGCTTCTTCGGCCTTGCTCGTGCAGCTTCTCTTCCCCGACGATTGCCTTCTCCTGGGTTTCTTGGCTGGTGGGGGAGCAAAGTTGTTAAATTCAGCAGCTCGTGATACCGCGAATTGAATCGATGCAGGGGGATCGACGAGCGAGCGCTTGACAGAGACCTTGCTCTCGTCCTGGCTGTGGAATATCCTGTTCCGGCCTTGCAGGAAGGGGTTACGGGGGGTCCACATCTCGATAACCTCCTTGAGCGTCGTGATGAGGGAGTTGAAACTGCATTCCTCTTTGTAGGAAGGATACAGGCTGCACAGCCAATCATGCCCTTCCCGCAGCACCACCATGTCCGAAAGAATCGAAGGGTCTCTCCAACGTCGACCGAGGAATAGACTCATGCCGGCCCCTGCAGGATCATCTTCTATCCTTCCCGCTCGCCTATGCCTGTACCGCTTGAACATGCCGCAAGCTTCCAGAACCTTGAGGATCTCTGGCTCTGAGATTGCCTTACGAGAAGTGCAGCTCTCCTCAGCCATCTGTGGGTGCCTGACCGCAGACGGCACGCACCGACTGAGGATATTGAACAAGCTCAGGCTGCCGTGCCTGGCAATGCAATGGCATTTCCCTTCATTTGCCGTCGTCAAGACGGCAGCGAAATCTATTGAAAGTTGGATGTTCTCCTTGGATGCTCTTGGACGTGGCATGGTAGAGGTAGCTGGGTGTTGATAGATGACTTACAGGTTAAGATGACTTAAAGATCACAGTAGTCCAATTTTTGCCTCACGTTCTCGCGATAGTTGTACACTTCTAGAACGCGAGGCAAGGCTTTGAGTGGGAAGAAGCGTTGTTGCTGGTGATGTATGCACAACGTTCAGAAGTGGGGAAAGGAATACACGAGGAGGAGAGTCAGGCTGGGCAGCGGAGGACAAAGAAGTTGATGAACAGCAGTGGGGGAATAAAGGGGGCGAGCGGAGAGGTACAAGGAAAGTGGAATTCGAGAAAGTTTTGAGGAGTAGGATGGGCAAAGGATGTAAGGAGGAGGGAGAGAGGAGGAGGAGTGGAGACTGATGGATTCGCGAAGACGCGGGTTGGGGCAGTCAAGGAGGTGGACTGTGCCAGGAGGTCGCGAGGGATTACGAGCGTCAAGACCGTCGAGGTGCCAGAAAAAATTTCAGCATTTGGGAGGGGTGGGGGTGGATACCACCGTACGTTACGCCATGGGTGGGTGTATGTACCCTACCCTTCGACTGTAAAAACATGACAATCAAACCTGAAATGAGGGGTAGCACATGTTACTTTTTCCAATTAAGAGGGGTAGATTGCTGACTGAATTCTTTTCAAGGGGGGTAGGGGCACCGATTGTTAACTTGCTGTGGGGGGACGAGGGGTAGAGGAGTTTGTTAACTTGACTATCTTCATGATGAGTGCAGCTGCTTGCCAGAGGGGTGGGGGTGGTGGATTATGGTGGGTACTGTAGGGGTGGTCCTACAGCATATGTAAGTAAACTTGAAGTCACTGTGCAGCCGACTCGGCGATGAGTAAACACTCGGCGGTAGTGAACGGTAGTCTTTTACTTAACTTTGAGTAAAGAGCATGATGGTAGTACTGCCCGGCTGCGGCATACTCAAAGCCTGCCAGCCTGGCAAGTTAAGTCAAAAATCCGAATCAGTACGAGGACACTAAATCAGGACTCCGATCGAGGAGGCTTGTGGCCCGGCAACCCACCCGGCCCCGCGGCCCGGCCAGCCGGGCCCACCCGGCGGGCCCCCCAGCGGCGGCGACCATGCCTACTCGGCGAGTCGGATCCGATGATCAGGATCCGCACGGTCCGGGCCCGGGGAGCGGCCTCCCGGGCCCGGGCCCGGCGCCTGCCGCCCGGTTGGCCCTGAGTTTAGGACCGTCGGACGCGCGGCCGGCCCGATCACGTCCGATCATACCGTGTCACTTTAACTTAACTTTGAGTAAACCGCCGGGTAGTACGCGTAGTAGGCCGCCGCGGCGCCGGGCCCGGCCGGGCCGGCCGGGCGCTGACGGCAGTCACGGAGTTCCGACAAGCTCAGTCACTCTCTGCAGAAAGTTTTCCTCATCTTTTCGGTGGGTGTGTCTTGGTGCGACACAGGTTTGAGAATTAGATATATATATTTTAAATATTTCATAATAATTCTGTATATTTGAAGTTTTAGACAATAATTTAGTTTGAATATTTCATGTTGCTCTCCAAGCTTGGAATTGGCGGTATTCTTGAATGAGTTGTATCCAGCCTCCGAAAAGTTCTGATAAAACCATTTCAGCCAAAAGTTCCTAATTTCCTCTCGAGAGTTCCTCTAATTCAGATTCTTTTCACCAAATGTTCGTATTAATTTGCTGAATAGTTCTCCAATTGAACCTCAAAAGTTCCTGCTGCTCTTCCGCAAGAAGTTCTGTACCCCTGCCGCCGCCGCTTTGCCGCTGCCGCATGCCGTAGGAAATGGCGGGCGCTGCAGATGAAAAGTTCACACATTCTCTCTGCCTCGCGGATTTTCGCCCTTTCTCCTCCTCCTCCTCCTGCAACAAAAACTCATTCTGCTCCTACCTCATTTATCCTTCTCCTTCTTTGCTCCTGGTTGACAGTGGAAAGTCCACCAGGGGAGATATTAGTGGCATGATTTGCTCGAATCCTACCATCCTTCCCTGACCGATCAATCTTGCTCTTTCTGCATTAGAGATAAAAATCGTCTGATCTTTCAAGCCTCATCATCACAAAAATGCTTCTTCCATGATTCATCTCATACCAATTGCGGTGCTAATTGATGGTTTTTGTGCTGCTCTTCAACATTATTCCAATCGCAAGCTCAATGCCATTCAACATGTGTGCTGTAACCTCTGGCAAACTTTAGCTGCGTAAAGTGTGTTCCTCTTTCTTAGCTGCATAGTATATCCTTGCATTCTTGTATGTTTGTTACATGATCTTTCATGTTCGCTGTGGTAGACTTGTCCCACCTGTGGTAGACTTGTCCCACCTTTTATGCCTTCTTCCAGCTCACAACCAAGTTAAGCGATGAACCCTGTGACATATACAGTGTACTTCATCTTCGTTTTCAATTTCTGCTTCATCTTTTTCTGTTGATGGAAGTGACGTGCGAAAAACAGGCTCGAGTGCTCATCAACGCTAGGTTGCCTCCAGTCACTCCAATTTCAAGATGGATTCGGAAGGTGTAGATCGGGATCTCCAGACGGTTGATTGGAGTTTGATTTTTCTTGCAGTAGAAAAGTATTCTACCAAGGATCTTGATAGAATAATTTCGGATATGTTCGAACAGAAGCGAGGTGGAAGCGCTGCACACAATATTCTTCCAGAAGCAGATGTGAGAGGTGTTGCCTTTATACGGGGTTGTCTCATACTTTCGTCCAGGTTTGCAAGTTGTGCGAGATGGCAAAAGAAATATTGCAGAACGAAGACAACGTGAAAGGCGTGCAAGCCCCAGTGATAGTTGTTGGCGATGGTGTGTGATTGTTGCTTGGTACGGCATCTACAGACGAGTGATCATTGGCAACTTTTCAGTCCATGGTCAATTTTTCGATCTGCTTGAACTATTCGAAATTGGAGGCAAGCCGCCATTCCATAACTACCTGTTCCTGGTATGATCTACTTCGCATGGATTCTAGCACTGACAAGGCTCTAGGGTGACTACGTAGATCGTGGATTTTATTCGTTGGACTGTGTGTTGCTCCTGGTTGCTCTCAAGGTTTTGATGTCGAGTCCTGTTTGTTCATCCTCTCAATCTTTGGTTTCAGGTTCGATATCCCGATAGAATAACATTGACCCGTGGAAATCACGAATGCAGACAAATTACACAGGTACGCAATCACAAAAAGCAGCTGGCGAGAGAAATTTCTATCCTGAATTCGATTCGATTGGTACATTTATTGATTGTCGCTGTACTGTCAGGTTTACGGATTTTATGATGAATGTTTGAGGGTGCACGGGACTGCCAATGTTTGGAAGCACTTCACTGGTGACTGTTCTGGAATCAGATACAATTTTTGCTCACTTGTTTGAAAGATCTTTTTGATTTCCTTCCATTGGCGGCCTTGGTCGACGATGCGATTTTCACTCCTCACGGCGGTCTTTCCCCTTCACTTGACCGGTTAGCACAGAAGAATTGAAAACTCTCTAACTGACGATTCTGCCAGAATTGAGCACGTGCAGAAACTTGATCGTTTCGTTGAGATTCCTCATGAGGGACCCATTTGCGATCTGATGTGGTCAGATCCCGACGACAGGTAGCGCTCGGTCACTCTTTGTTGGCCCACCCTTGATTGCTTGTCAGATATGGATGGGGAATCTCTCCTCGTGGTGCAGGGTACACCTTTGGGCAGGTCCGAACTATCTTGAATTTTGAGTATGTGCTTATCTAGAGTTGTGCAGGACATTACAGAGACTTTCAACCATGATAATAACCTTCAATACATTGTGCGCGCACATCAGCTCATCATGGAAGGTTATCAGTGGCAGGTTTGTCCCGTGCAATGTGCAATTTTCTCTCTCACATTCGACAGCACTCGGGTGGAGTTTTGACTCTCTTCTCCGCACCAAATTACTGCTATCGATGCGGCAATCAAGCTGCGATCATGCAGCTCGACGGTGATACGATTTGATATCGATTGTTTTTGTTCATTGATGCTTTGAGCAGAGAACTTGAACAAGAGCGTGATCCAGTTCGATCCTGCTCCTCGTCACCAGCATGGAGAAGAAGGCAAGCCCAAGCTCAAGGCGCTACCCGACTACTTCTTGTAGGAGCAGAGCTCCTGAAAGCATCTGAACATGAAGGACGAAAGAGAAGAAACGGAAGGCAGGAGCAGAGAGTAGGGATCACTGACGACAAGTGTTTGCCCATTACTGGAGGGCGTAGAGAGTAACGAGCGAGAGAGTTTGGAGGAAATCCAGTGAAGTCTGAATCTACATTTACAAGTGGCCGAGATGTGAAGAGGACTCGTAGACTGACTATGAGAGGCCGAAGGCTTTGGCTCCTTCTCCTCCAGGCACACACTTGCCCTTGACATTGCGGTATCCGCTGCAGGGAACTATCAGATGCTCACCAGGACACGAAGAAATAGGTTGAGGACACAAGAAAATCCGTTGGGGCAAGCTAAGGAGGAGAAGAGGAAGGAGCAGGAACAACATTGCACGTGGAATAGGGTGGGAGGTGCAGGGAGAAATGGGAGGAGGGGAGGTGTTGGGTAACATGCCTGCGGCAGCGGCAGCCGTCCGCTCCATCGAACTCTGCGCCCTCCCCGAAGTGCTGCTTGCAGAGAGCCTGCCGGAGGAGTGAAAGACTGTGGGAAGAGGGGGTGGAGAGAGAAATGACGTG